AAAAATTATACATGGCTTAAGAATCACAATGTCATGTGTGCCCCAAATTTTTATATGAAAAGTATTATTTTTTGGATCACTTCATATTGAAGGTGTTTTAATTATGACAGTAAAGCAGCCCAGCATTTTCAGGGTTTAGTAGCTTAACGAAAACACAGACTCTAAACCACGGAATCTGCAGCATACTCTAGCACCATATAAACATTTAGTACTGTTCAGGAGAGGCTCCATGTGTGAAATAAATGCTGGCTCATAGCTGCAGAGCGGTTTACATAGGATATTAACACCGCTCTCGTGGGCGTTAGGCATCTCACCCCACGACACGTCTTTTTAATACCATCTTTATCTGCTACACGATGCATGAAATCTACTTTCAGTTTTAGAACCGCCAACAACCTTTGACCTCTTTACAGCAGACACAGTGTGACCTTTCTATTGTCATCAGCCTTCATTCTCCTGAAAATTCTATGAATTTTTATTACAAGTTTTTTTTAAACCAAGCTGAGGCTTCCACAAATTACTTGCCACAGATGAGATGAAGTTGTTGAAGTGGTGTTAGATAAGTTTTACAGCCAGCATGTGTGCTGAGAGGAGCCCAAGCCTGTGTCCTACAATGTCATAGACCAGTAACTGCTGAGCCTACTATTGGATAAATACATCATTTTATGGAACATTGATTGTTCTATAAACCCAATGGAGTATTATGCTCTATGATCAAACCATTTAGATTGTGTGTAGAGCACAGAAAATGCCATATTCAGGATGGTACTAAAAGTGCCATTTGTGTATTTTATGGATGTCATTACAGGGGAAACTTCTCTCTGTAGGCCCTGTTTACTGCAAAATTTTTTAGTCTGTAATGACATTTTTCATTCACAACGTATGCCTTCAAGAGAGGGGGCCCTTGTTTTATTTGTTTCATTTGAGTTTACTGCACAAATTCTGTACATTTTAATTAAATGTAAGCTTAACAAAAGCATAAGGTATTTATGCGGGGGGGGGGGGGGCTAATGACAGTAACCATAGACTAGCTCACACACAAAGGAAGAGGTCAGGTACTCCCAGTTCCATAGCTGCCCAGAGCCTGACAGAGAGGGAGCATGGTTTGGGGAAGCACTACCCTTCACAACTTACCCGTCTCCCACAGAGTGGCATTGTTCCCATCTCTGGAGCCGTTTTCTTCCAGAGAGATTCGGCAGTTTCACTGCTGTGTAGTATGGCTTAACCAAAATCACTCTCTTGAAAACAGACCCTAACCAAAGACAAGAACAAAACAAAATAAAACACCTTTATTACTTTATTAACAACTCAGTTGCTAACTCTCCCTCATGTTTAGACATGAGCAATATCTCTAATCATGAAAGCAAATTAGCAATGAAGGGGTTGTCTAGCCATGAACAGGGCTGCCTTTTAAGCCCATCCCCAACTCCTGGACATGACTGTGTCGCCCTACTGGAAGCAGGTCCAAGGACTAAGTATAGGCACTCTGATACGTCATCCCCCTGAAATTCAGCGATGCCTTTTAAAAACAAGTACAGCACCATTGCTGGCTGAGAATCCACTGGCAGTTAAAGATATGCTTGCTGGAGCTCCAGCAGTGACTAACCCTTCTAGGGTAAAACCTCAACAGTGCCCTGTCCGCCAGTGCCCCTCCATGAGGCCGTTTGCACTGGGAGGTGTCACAGTCCATATTCACTAGAGAGAGCATGTGTGCCCAGTACATTCTTGATGCTAACCCAGTTGGAATCTGAAGCTGTGGTAGAGATTCACATCCGTTTAAATGACACTTGAACTTCTACATGGTTCCACATTAATTCATTATGGTTGAAATGGAAGGATCTTCAATGGGTGAATCTTTTTCAATCTGATTGAGGCTGTTACATTTTATAGGTGCTATTTTTCAAAGCAGTACTGACAGCACTCGAAGTTATTAAATTGCTGAATCAAAAGACGGACCTGCACTCACATTTATGAACTCTGATGGACTAGCCGGGGGCCGTGCTGCCAGAGGTTAAGATGTTGGTGGCATTAAGCTTCATCACAGACCCAACTGACAGCAGTATTTACCCACACAGTTTACTTTAATGGTTTGGAAGTAGCTTAACCTGTTTCTGGATTCAAATGAACTGAACAAGTGGTTCAGAATTCATGATTATCAACACTGCCAGGGAGTCAAAAGATTTTTCTGCGCCCAAGACGTTTTCCTTGAGTTGCCCAGTGAGGATTGGAATTGCTAAGGCTCAAGCAAGCGACCTTTCTGCCTCCTAAGACTAGGATGCTACTTTTGTCCCCCAACTTGGTTTCTCCTGACTTTTATCTTAATGGCAGTATTCCCTTATTTTGTAATTATTGGGGGCAGGGCAAGTTGATTGCATTGTTATTGCCTGTTTTTCCTCTGAATTATGCTGTGTATGCCCTTGAAATAAAACTGAGCAAAAAACAAATCAAAATTAGAATATAGGAAGGCAGCAAAATACTGCACCCTGAGCTGAAAAGTTGAAGCTCAGTTATGAACTTGCATGACTAGCAGAGGAGAAGCTGACAAGTGTGTGGCACTCAGAGAAGAAGCCTGAGAACAAGTGAAGTTCAGATGACATGAGGGCAGACGCTGTGTCCTCAGAGCAAAGCACTGGTCCAGGCAACTAAGAGCTGGTTCTCTTTTGAAAGGAAGGGAGACTGGATGACAGCAGGAGCTCACAACCACAGGCAGGTTCCCAGGCACTGACAGTCCTTGAGACTCATAGGGAGGTACACCAGATCCCCGGGTTGGCCTGCAGGCTGCAGCTTGAACTAAGATTTCGTGGCTTCCTAACCCTTCTAAGGCCCACAGCATAGAGAGATTTCCAACAAAGACAAAATAACATTTAGAAGCCAGTGAATATTTCCAAATCCAGGACCTCTGTCCTGTAGTCTGTGAAGTGGCCTGGGCGTGTCCTCTTGGCAGACAAGACCAGCAGCTCCTGCCATCAACCCCCAGATGTTGCCCTTACCCAGAGGCCCTATCTGAGGCCTGCGCCCAGATTAACTTGCTGAGCTACAAGTCTAAATGCCCTCCACATGCCCCGTGGTAAGAGGAAAGCTATAGTTTTATAAAACAGAGCATGTTAGTGAGTGTCAGGAGCTTTGTGTCAGATGCAGATGTTATGGACACAGGGAATGTTGAACACAGATGCGAGTGGATCATTTCCTGTTTGGGAGGAGAGGCGGTGACAGTGAAACTGTTTACGCTGATAGAGGAGCTAGGAGAGAACAGGAGCTCTAATAAGAGTCATTCTCTCCTTTACAAAAGCAAAGCCTGCAGTTCCCAGCACGTCTTACCCTGCTCAGTTAGGGACAGACTTCCAGATGAGGTCACAGTGGTGTGCAAGTGTGTGTCCCACATCCACCCATGCTGCAGGCCGCTCTCTTTGACCTCCTTCCTCCCATCTGTGCTGCTGCTGTGAGATAGGCCCAAAGGTTTCTCTCCTAAGCCAGCCCAGTCCTGTCAGGGCTCATCCACCCTGACTTCCTGGGCAAGCAGCTTGTCTGTGGGCTTGTGGCCTCAGACCACAGGGTGAGCTGAAAATAGAATGGCCGGGTAAGTGGCAGGGCAGAAGCCTGCACCTCCTGTGTCTGGCCTGTTGATAGCCCCAGGCCAGGTGATTGGCAGAGCTCCCCTTCTAGCTTCTCCCCTGTTCTTCCTTCCTGTCCCCTCCTCCCCAAAGCAGGTCACCTCATTTACCGCCATTGCACACATCCCAAGGGTCTTAGCTGTCTTTTCAGAGTCCCGGTGTCCTCACTAAAAGGAATTTGAGGCTGACAGGGAAAAGCACACATTCTGTTGTTACCATGTCACAGTTCATTTTTTGTGTTTAAAATAAGCATGCAGCAGGTTTCTGTCCACAGATGCCAAAGGTGGGGTGTGTGAGCGTGCCCAGGAGCCTCCACTCTGCCTTGCCCTGCAGGCGTCTTCCTGTCCTCTAAGGTCCAGGTCATGGGTCTTTAGTAGCCTGAGTGTGTGGTGTCTGTCTCTTCAGCTTTGCTTGCCCCTCCCACAGTGTCTGAGCCACTATGGAAGTGTCAGCAGACACAGCTTTAATGATGGCGTCTCCTTTTCCACATGGGGCCCCTGACCTGAAGATGTGAAATGAGCTGCTCACTGGGCCCCCAGAGTCTACCCTTCAGGCCAACTTGGGGAGACCTTCTCCCAAACTCCAAGTGCCCAGGACTTTTGTTTGTATTTCTGTGCCCTGCACCTGGCACTGTGCCCAGCCCAGACTGCTCAGCAGAGCCACACTGGGCTACCTCTCTTGCTTTGGTTCAGTACATGTTTGTTCCTATGAACTCTTAAATCTACGTTTATTAGAAGAATATTTTCAATTTAACATGTAAAGCTTTCATTGTCCTTACTAAATAAACCAATACACTGGACTTGGTATTTAGACATTAAGAAAAGGTTTTCCTTTGGGTTCAAAGCGCCTACTGCTGGCTCCCAGCTGGCTCCTTTTGTGGTCCTTGCTGTTGGAGGTGAGAGGAACCATGTGTAGCAGTTTTCTCACTGCTGTGACAATGTCTGACAAGCAGCAACTTAAAAGAGATGCACTTCATCGTGGCGGGGCTTGCAGCAGCTGGGCACACTGCAGCCTCGCCTCGGTCAGGAAGCCACCATGGATGCAGGTGCACAGTCCCCATCCTCCTTTTCCTTCAGTGCAAGCCTCCAGCCCATGAATGGTGCCTCCCACGACCCAGGTGGGTCTTTCACCTCAGCTAACAGTCCCTCCCTCACAGACATGCCCAGCCCAGGAGCCCACACACCAGCACTGCTGGAAAGAATCTGGTTTGAATAGGTGCCCCATGTGTGTGTAAAGGCAGACATGACTGAGCAACCTCAGTGCTTCTAGTGGGGACTCCTTGGCCTCTGCAGAGAGGGCCACACATGCTTTGCTGAGGCTGCGGAAGAGCTGCCAACCTGTACCCTGGCGTCCTCTTTCCACACTCTAACTGGTCCCTGTCTCCCACAGGCATCGTGTCCAAGTCCTACGAGTGCCGTCTGAAAGGACAAGGAGCCACCTTTGTGGAGACAGACAGCCCCTTCACTGCAGCCACGCTGCCAGAGGAGTCACCTGTCAAGGAGAAGTCTCTGAGGAGCAGCAAGAGGCAGGCTTCACCCCCTGCGCAGGTCCAGCAGGTCATCATCATCCAGGGCTATGATGGGGAGTTTGCCCTGGATGCCTCCGTGGAGGAGACTGCTGCGGCCACACTGCAGACCCTGGCAATGGCTGGCCAGGTGGCCAGGGTGGTCCACATCACAGAACATGGGCAGGTCATTGCCACAAGTCAGAATGGGTCTCATGTGGGCAGTGTGGCCCCTGGGCCCATCCTCCCGGAGCAGCTGGCAGATGGAGCCACCCAAGTGGTTGTCATGGGGGGCTCTATGGAAAGCCATAGTGTGGATGAGGCCCTTAGTCCGGGTGGTGCTGTGATACAGCAGGTTACCAAGCAGGAGATCTTAAGTCTCTCAGAGGCTGCAGTCCCTCCGTCTGACACCTCCTCAGCCTTAGATGCACTACTGTGTGCTGTCACTGAGCTGGGAGAGGTGGAGGACAGGGCAGGGCCCGAGGAAAAGGGCAGGCCCAGCCACAAGGATGTCCTAATCCAGCTGCCCAGCCAGGAAGCAACCCATGCTCATGCCAACACAGAGGCCACAGAGACCCAGTTCCAAGATGCTCAGGAGAGTCCAGCAGCCATGGAAGTGCTGACACAGGTTGTCCGGCCCTCGGCCATCATCACGTCTCAGGAACGGGCCCAGGTGGCATTCAAGAAAATGGTTCAGGGAGTTCTCCAGTTTGCTGTATGTGACACAGCTGCAGCCAGCCAGCTGATGAAGGATGGTGTTACCCAGGTCATTGTGAACGAGGAGGGTGCTGTCCACATGGTGACCGGAGAAGGCTCCCAGTTCATCATGCAGGATGCCGAGACCCACGGCCTGCGGGTACCAGCTGAACATGTGGACCTGGTAGAGTCCGAAGGGGAGATCTCACAGATCATTGTAACAGAAGAGCTGGTACAAGCCATGGTCCGTGAATCCAACAGCAACTTCCCGGAGGGTGCCACCCACTACATCGTGACAGAGTTGCCTCCAGGTGTACAGGAGGACACAGGTGTTTACTCCCACACTGTGATAGAGACAGCCAGCTCTCCAGAGATCCTGCAGGCCGGGGCTGCACTCGGCGCTGAGGCTGCGGGCACAAGCAGCACAGAACAGCTGACCAGCATGGTCATCTACACGCAGGACGGCTCCCCAGCAGCCACAGTGATCCAGAGCCAAAGAGAAAACCCTGAGCTCCAAGAAGCATGAGGCAGGTCTCCATGCCAGGCACAGGGCAGTGTGCAGCAGCTAACACGCTTTGCTCGCAATGTTTACTTGAGAGGTGTGCTGCACAGGCCCTTCAGGCAGGGGTAACATCGGCCACTGAAAAGGCACCAGAGAGCAGCAGAGAGCCAAGCCTACACCTAGGTTGCCCAGTGGCCTCAGGAGAGTGGGTGGGCAGGATGAACCCTGTGCCCTCTGCTCGTGGCCCTTGCCCTTCAAGCACCACTGTGCTAAGAAGCAGTTGTCCCTGGTTTTTCTCCCATACAAGTTCCCTGTTTAGTCGTCAAAAGATAAAAGATGGCGTCCCCAATGGGAAATAGGAAATGTCTCTAGCCTCAGCTGTTCATGCAACTCTGTCATCTCCTTCCACATTCAATTACAAATCGGAGCCACAAAGACTACATCTTGAAGCAGTGAGCACATTGTTTTTTATTGCTATGAAGTTTGAGATAATGGTGTTCCCAGACCAAAGGAAGCCTGTTAGTTCATTTTATGTATAAATATCCTCTCTGCAAATATTTTAAGTGTTTCCTTTGCCATGGCCATGCTTCCCAAGAGAAATCCTTCATCTGTGGTTTGAGAAAAGTCTTAAAATTTCTATTGAGTTAAGATCCACCTTGGTTAAGACCATTGACTCTCATCCTGAATTCATTTCATACCATAATGTCTGTACATGAGATGTCCACTGTGGAAAATACCACTCATTGCTTTTTATAGCAAATATTTGTTTGTATTGGTATCTTTTTTTCCAGGATTGATTTGTGACTTCCTGAGACTGGGAAGCTGACATTGGACATTACAGTAGAGGGCCACCCCTTGCCCTGCTGTCCCAGCACTGCCTGCTCCATGGTGGATTCACTGCAAGTGCAGATGTATGTAGATTTATGTTCTGGTCATTTTTCTTGATTCCACTGATCTTTTTTTTCCAAAATTGTAAAATACCCCTTTCCTCCAAGGCAAAATTGTTTTTGTTGTTTTCTTTGAAATAAAATTATAGCGTTAAACCAGGGGTGATGGCGTCCTCTGAGTGGTCAGCCAGCCAAGAGCGCGTGTGCAATGGCCATGCTGGCCAGCCTGCCGAGGAGGTCCCTCCCTCTCTGTTTTAACCACTTCGTATGTAGCAGACAACTCCTGCAGCAGAGTGCCATCACATAAGTGGCAAATAGCCCAGGCAGATAGCATGGGTAGGGACAGGAAGCCAGTCTCTGTGTCAGCACAAGAGCCATTTAAATCCCTTCCTAATGCCACAAGTGAGAGCACCACCAGGGACTGGCCTCTTGCCTTGAGTTGCGTCCATTCCAGGGCCAGCTCCCTACACCCAGCCACCCTCCCAGCAAAATAATAAGAAAAGGTAAAACTTGAGCTCTGACACTGACTCATAATTAGCTAAGTGTGACTACTGCTTCCTAAAAATGGCAGGACTACTCAACTCCTCTTAAACAATGTCTTTGCCAAACAGTGACAGGATCAACTCCCGTTTGTTATCAGGATAGAGGTGACCTTTACAAAGTGATGGCCCTCTCCAGGCTCCTCATACATGTTAAAAAAGGGGGGTGGGGTGGTTTTCAGTGGAGATATTTCTTCTTGATCACCTCTCCTGTTGGCGTGCGGCCCTGCAGTCCTGAGGCTCAATGCTAATTCCTGCCTTTGCAGAGCACTGTGTGGCTAACCTTTCCGCTACAGTCCAGGGCGTTGACACTGACATGCTGTAGTTTACTGTGTGTGATTTATTTAGGATAAATATGTCTCAGGTGGCATTTAATCCTTCATAAAACCAGTGTAGCCTGCAGTGTCAAACCAGCAATCAGGTTGTATGCACGATGAAAAGAGCAGGTCTTTGCATAAAAAAAAAAAAACTGTACAGAAGGTGTTCTTAGACTGAGAACGATTGCAAAGGCTTCTCCAAGCTATTGTATCCTGTAATTACCTATAGAGCTAGGTTAATGTTACTTCTCTTTTCTCTCTCATTACACAACTATTGGAATGCAAGGGAGTTTCAGAAGCACACACACAAATGTGTGCCTCAGAGTAATGAGGCACGGCAGGGTTTGCGAGCACAGGACACTCATCGAGGCATGAACTGTCTATAAAGACGGTGCAGCCAGCCCACAGCTTTCCTTAAGGTTTCTTTCCCAAGAAAACGGTGACAATTTTAAAGAAGTAAAAGCCCTGCCAATGGCACTTTTACATAGAGATTGTAACCCCGGAAGACTTTATATTAAGCTACAGCCAGTTGAATGATCCAGCCCCAAGGATTTCTGCATGCAAGGAAGACTGATTTCCAAGTTAGCATATAGATATGATTTAGACTTCAACTTCCATGCTGAAAGTTGTTCAGTGTTGGTGGCTTGAAGGGTCACAAAGTGAGGTGGTCATTTCTAGACATAGAAGTAACTGTCATACAAGGTCATTTAGTGTGATGCTGTCACTTGATTCTCATGGTCATCTTTGTGAGAGACCTCAGCCCTCCTAGAGAGATGTAGCAGTAGTCCCTGCTAAACATCCTTGCAACAAAGTAAACCAGGCGGCCTGAGAATGAGGCTTTCACATACTGGTTTCCTTGAAGGACAAGGACGTGAACTGAGACTGAGTCCAATAGCTTTGGGAATCCCTGTCACTTGCCAGGGGAAAGTGTGTGAAAAGCAGTCACAGATTATCCAAGATAATTCCAGCAAGAGAAGAGGGACCTCGGGATCAAACTGAGCGCAGCGCTGAAGCTTAGTGAGTGCTGGGTTGGGTATGAGGATGGACTGACAGGGGGCTCAGGCTAAGCTGACCAAACAGCATTGCCGCTTGGGGCGTGAGGTGGACAATGAAGAGCCCAGTTGGATTTCCAGGTCCACCAGATACTATTGGTGGGGATCCTGGCCAATCAGCAGCTTTCTTGCTAAGGGGTATTTTTTGAAAGGAGGCTCTCAAATGCATCAGATAAAAGTCCCTCAAGCAAATGAGCTGTCAAAGTTAGAAGATGGGAGGTGAGGCCTTAGTCCTCCTTAGCCTTCTCTACCTAGAACACAGCCAAGACACCTGGCCCAGCAGCCCCGCCCAGCACTGCTCTTTGAGAAGCCTGACCCCACTTCCCACTAGGATGGGGCCTAGGAAGGCACAAAGCATCTGCCTTCCAGCTCTGTCACCCTTGTGTCCTGGTGTGGGGGCGCGGGGAGGGGGGTGAGGAACGAAGGACGGGAAGAAGGAAGGCAGGCAGAGGACTGAGGAGTCAACCTAGACTCTTAGCCTGGAGTGGACCCTGAGAAGAGGAAAGAGGATTCACTTGGCACCAGAGAGAACCACGTCTGTCACTTCCCTCGCTGTATATTAGCCCGCAATGTAAGAGGGTACAAGCTTACTGGAGCAGCCTTCTGTTCCATCATGTTGGAGAATACAATTCGTTTTCTACTCCTCTAGGGTGATATCATTTTACATGGAGAAAAAGTTAGCCGGGGTGGCAGTTATATGTTTCGGAAGCACCTTCTAATCAGGGATGGGTGATTCATGATTAGCTACAGCGGGCGATTCATCTGACATGGAAGGGGGAAAAATTAGCAGCTGTCACTGCTTGACGAGTTAATTTCCTGATGGGCCTGACACTGAAAAGCCATTTGGAGACATGGCTGTGGCTGATGAGAAAACCTGGTACTGCTTTTATAACTGGAGATAAAGACAGGGCAGACGAGCTGCCTGGGAAGGCCTGTCAATCTACAGGGGAGTATTGGTGTCTGTGGCTGAGTGAGGTTCAGGCCAAAGCCATACTGCCCGTGTTGTCGTCCACATACTCTGATGGGGAGGTCAAGCCCCTGCTGGCTGTGAAAACTCCAGGGGACCAAAGGGCACCTCCAGGAATACTTGAGGTATTGACCTTCAACTCTGTCATGCCCTACTTCTGTTCAGGAAGGCTACTTCCAACCCAACAGGAAAGAGTAGGCTTTGCCTTCATGTCTTTTAAGTGGGAATTAAAGAAATAAGTGTATAATAAGCTCTACCTTTGTTATCAAGCTTGGCTTCTGGGCTTTCCTAGGAAAGGGTAGTTGGTGAAAGATTGGTGTGGCGTATGGAATTCAAGGTTCAGGACCAGTGCCTATTGTTGACCAACTGGAAAACACAGGGACAGGCTGGGAAACTCCTGTTTCTCTTGGCTCCTTGGTTTGCAAAATCAATGAAGTAGGGTGTTCTAGAGATCTCCTACCTGAAAAGGAAGCTTGAAGGTATGGCCTGGTTCTTCCCACAGCTGAGTCCTTGCCCAGGCCAGGTTTGTGGTTGCTCTTCCTGCATTGGGACCAGGCTGTGAAATGTCCCCAGAGCTGTTGTAGAGGACCAGAGTCTGAAGCACTGGAATATGGTCACAAAGACCATTCCCAGACTTAAATAGATCAACCCTGCATATCTCCAGCAAAAAACAGTTTCTTCTGCCATGACCTGCATTTGCAATATATTTCAGTAAACTCTTTAAATGACCTCACTTCTTTTTTTGTTTGTTTGTTTTTTGGTTTTTTTCGAGACAGGTTTTCTCTATATTGTTTTAGAGGTTGTCCTGGAACTTGCTCTGTAGACCAGGCTGGCCTCGAACTCACAGAGATCCGCATGCCTCTGCCTCCCGAGTGCTGGGATTAAAGGCGTACACCACCACCGCCCAGCAAATGACCTTACTTCTGCATGACTCTCACCATCATCAAAAGAGGAGTTACCACCAGGATAAACATGAACCTCCAGACCCTCCTCTGTTTTCTTCTACTTCTCTCATTACTCTTAAATAACCCGTTGGGGGAGGGGAGAATTAAAACCAACACCAAGGGAAGTATTTACCTTTCATTTCCAAACTGGATTCCAGGCTAGGAAGGTCCTGTTAGAAAGCTGCTCTGAGTGACGCATGCTCAGCCAGTGGCCTTGCTCCTGCAGAGCAGTAAGGACATCTTGCATGGTTACCTTGTTCTCTGCAGCCTCAGTAGTGTCCACCGCAACTGTCCACAGTCTGGGGGGAGATGCAGCTGCTGACTTGTCCCACGTAGCTTCAGAAGACAGAAGATGTTTAGATGTAGTTGCAGCATCAGACCCGTTGGAACACACGGTTTTCCCGAACCCACAGCTAGGAGCGAAGCCTTTTTTGGTGACAGTGGAGGTGACAGTGGAGGTTTCACACTTCTTGGACAGGCTACAGTTTCTCAGCCATGAAAATGTCCAGGGCGTGGGACATACCCACATAACAGCATGGTTAGCAAGCAGCACCCTCCTTGCTGTTGCTTCTGCAGGGGCTGGCATTCCTATCTCAAGGGCAAGGTTCTACAGGACTATGCTCCCTCCCTCCTAGGACTTCACAGAGCCCAAGGTGCTCTTCCCAAACTGTTTCCAAGGATGACCTCTAAGTCAGAGCCTGTACACTTGTGTCAAGCTTGGTGCCTCACCAGGGTGCACACCGGATATGCTCAGGGAACCCTCTAGAGGGAGTAAAGATATTAAGACATGCATTCTCTGTTTGCCCTTCACAGCTCTTCAGAAGGAAGTAAACTAGAAGCATCCTGAATCTACAGCTTATGGTCAGACCAGTCTGATCACATTCTCATCATATTCCAGAACATTTCTTGATGAAGTACCCTGGGATTAAACCTCATGACAAAGGTCACATCAGGTTCACAGGCTTATTACACATAGTAAGGTGACTTTTCTGGCTTTTTATAGGTACAACCTTCACTCATAATCATCATAATCTTAAAGAACGTATCAAAATTCATTCCCAGGGCACCAGGCTGTTCTTGTTAAAATTTTTACTTGCTTAGGCACTGACTCTTCTCTACCCTAAGGTGTTGGATTAGTGCTATTTATTCCACTCACTATTCACTCTTGACGTGTTATGACAAGAAGCAGTGTTTGAGGTCATCTGGAATGATGGTGACATTTTCTTTTCTGGAGGAAGATCTTTGACACTTGGCAAGAAGTCCAGAGACAAAGCAAGCAAACAAAGACATGCCAGGTGGCCCTGGACTATGCCTTGCTTTTAGCCTAGCAGCATCTCAGTAC